ATCTATCCAGGTCTCGTGGCTTTGCCATTTTTAATTTTGTTATACATTCAATATCAATACCACCATCTATCTGAACATCGTATATACAGCGTTTGAATACTCATACTATCATACTATTCTGATCTGTCTTCAATAACCAGTTGTCTATACTCTTCTCGACAACTTCTTTCTCTGTTAGTCTGATACTTCCACGGTTTATACACTTTTCTGACCTGCACTAAATTGACATGACATTGCACTGACTTACACTTCATTGCACTATGACGTCATACGAGTGCCATGTCCTGCAGAGTAGTGCAGTCCCAACGAACAAAGCTTAAGAGAGCTATTTAAAATTGTAAAGGTTATAAAAGCGATATGGTTAAACTACAACTAGAAGAGTTGTCAACTTCGAACTTGTTTCTGAAGAAGGTTGCAACATGGCATCCGAAACGTCAAACATTTTTTCAAAAAACGCACGGCTTAACCCGAAAGTTTTTACTTCTAGTGTTAGTTCTAGTGATAGTGCTAGTGTTAGTTCTAGTTTTAGTTTAATTAACACCGGCCGTGAATGCCTTCGTACTTATAGCGATATGGTAATTGACATCTTTGAACCCCTATAGAACTCACACTTCTTCATCTCAGAAAATTCTCAAAATCATTTTGCTTCTTTTAGGGTATTTATGCATCCTAGTCAATAATGGTGTCTAATTAACTATAAATACATACGTCAATAAAGTATAAATGGTATCCATTTAGTCACAGTGACTAATAATGGTTGTAACGTGCTTTATGAAAAACTCGTTTATTTCAAGTTTATGTATACATTACGATATGTATAGATAACTTATAACTTAGTATGAAACATTTTGCAACAATTTTTGTTTTAAGTAAAGCACAGTCTAGGTCCACACTTTTCATACATTAGCATCGTTATCATTATTATTTTTAAATTTATTTATGGCTTTGCGGGATCCTAACCCGTCAGCCTCTATATCATGGTTATGTAATATTCACCAATACATCAGATCGCAATATTAGACCTCACCAAAAATTCAAATACATATAATATAAAGGACATTGAACAGGTTACAATTCAATACATGAACGATGTTAATAGGCAAAACAAAACTACAGGCAAGCAACGCATTAATAAATCTTGGGCGGTATTTCTCATGAAATTTGCAACTCAACGATATGTGATTCAGATCCGCAAATTCTGCTCCACATTCACAGGTCGGAGATGACAAAATCTTAATCTTATACAAGTGAGATGGAAAACGACCGTGGCAAAATTTCAGTCGTGCGATAGTAGCTGAAAACCAGCGAGACACCTCAACCCCCATGTACCACTGCCGAAACAAGACAGTAGGATGTATAATGGCATATTGTCTTATTCTTTTATTATAGTATGCCCTCCAGTGTGAAATCCATCCCTCTCTCTCTCTTCCTTATTTTTGTAGAGGGAAAAAACTTCTCCAGAGTGGAATCCCACATCAATGCGCTTACCATCCTGTATCGCCTCCTTAGCTAATACGTCAACTAGTTCGTTATGAGTTATACCGCTATATAAATGTGCATGAAATTGTCCTTGTTCCGACAATGCCACAAGAGTGGATACAATGTCCAATACGCAAGGGTGGAGAGTAGTATAATGTTTTTTATGTTTTAAAGCCATCAACACACTTTGAGAATCAGACAATATTGACACCACAGAGCAACGGACTGACAAAACATATCGCAGGGCCTCAAGGATTGCATATAGCATCGTTATTTATTTTCGCAATTGCTGCACTTTGCATTATCTGGTCTTTCAGAGGAAACTGTTATTGGCACATTATGTCTTCAGAGTTGGGTCGACCCTTTATGGCCTCCTTGCCAGCATGAAGAAGTGCTGGCACAATGTCCAATCTAAATTGCTTTAGAGGTTTTTTACCTTTAATGTTGTACCATCAAGTCTGTACAAATACCACATTCACTACATGTATCCATCAAATAAGTGAAGATTTGGAAATATCACCGCTTAAGCTTACTTTGTGATTACTGTGATTAGCTGTGGTTAGAACCAACAGAAATCTTTGGCGGAGGCCTTCCCATAAAACATGTTTGACGTAATAGTAGGCATAAATTCTGGAAGAGTTTTTTTATTATCCTAACAATCAATTTTTTCCAGTGAGACTTTTAGATTTTGCATATTACTTACCAAAAATAACGCTAATTTGTTGAACGTTTACAATAATGGCATTCAGTGTTCCCGACTTAAAACTAACTACCTATGTTACTACTGTTTCCATGCAGTAACATTGTCGGATACCAGCTGACATAAAAATTAAAAGGTCCGATACAAGGTTAAATCTGTAAGAGACGTTGACTTCCTTATTTAAGCAATATAGCACTTTAATCCAATCTTTAATAATTTTATAAGAGGGAAAAAAGATCGAGGAGGTTAGGGAGTATACTTACTTGGGGTATGTGTTTAGGACAACAGGGAGGGGTCGCATGTGATAGCTATGGCAAAAAAGGCGAATAAGGTGATGGGACAAGTATGGGGTTGGGGGAAGAGAGTCTTTGGAAGGAATGTGGCAGCGAGGAAGATTATGTTTGAAGGTCTGGTTAGCAGTGTGATGATATATGGGGCAGAGGTATGGAGATGGAAAGAGCAGGCAATGTTGGAGGACGTGCAAGCTAGATATTGGAGATGGGTGCTTGGGGTGGCGAGAGAAACACCGGGGTATATAGTGAGGGAAGAGGTAAAGGTGGATAAGGTCAGAGTGGAGGTGGGCAGGAAGGCAGTGAAATATGAAGAAAGAATAGAAGGGAGGCCAAACTGCGGGATCTTGGGGGAGTGTTGGAGGGAAATTAGAGAGGGAAAGGTCAGATATGGGAAAGGAGACAGAGACAACTATTATAGACGAGCGGGCTACTCGGTAACTGAGATAAATAGTAGACGAAGGGTGGGTAGGGAGATGTGGAGGGAGTTGAGAGATAGAGACCGAGATGTGCAGAGACAGGAAAGAAGGACACAAATAAAAGAGGGAAGGTATAAGGAAAGGTACAGGGACATAATTACGGAGGGGCTGCCTAGATACTTGTTATTGGAAGGAGATGAGGAAGGGAAGAAGTTGGTGGCTAGGTTCCGTTGTGGAAACGAGGAGAGAGCTAACAGATACTGGATGGCCGATGAGGAGAGGTGGTGTAGGCTATGCACGGAGGAATGGGAAACGTTGGAACATTTGTTGAATGGGTGCAGTGAGTTGAGGGAGGAGGAGTAGCAGGTCCGAGGGCAGATCTGAGGAGAGGGGGAGAGAGGAAACGATGGATGAGAATGGTTGTGGGGGTGAGGAGACGAGGGTGTGAAAATGGAGGAAGAGGGTAAAAGGTGAAAATAATATATTAATAATGTAAAAAATTGTAGAATTGACATATTATTGTATACAATAAATTCTTAATAATAATAATTTTATAGTCAAACTCAGAATTTTCATTGGAAGATGTTATTGTACGAATGAGCATCACACATTAATAGAAGTTTCATTAGCATTGTATATTTGGACAGGTGATAAACCTCTTTTTTAATTACGTTTGATAACATGTTACAGAAAATTGTAGCTCCAACTTCGTCAGCACTAAGCTATTTATCTTGAATTTGTAATTCTTTCATTCTATACCTTTCTTTAAAAAAGGCAACCACCCTGTTGAAGGTACCTTCAATGATTGGTATTTTTTTCACAATGTTCCGCAAACCACTTCACCATCACATTTACCTTTCATTGTTTTTCTACATTATAAGCATACGTTATGGGGTTATAAGTAACCCTTTGTATGCTACAACGTGTATCCCTTTGTGTACCCTTTCCAGGCTTAATAATAAATAAAATTGACAATATACTGTTTTTTTACTTTCAAACTGATACAAGTGTATTGGTGTAGTAATTTTGAGTGCAATGATATGCTCCATTTATCAAGAATATGATAGACCTGCATTGATAAAACCTATTCGTTTTTGGCTTCATTAGCAATGTTTCAATATATGTATTTACTAAATTAGAAGTGATGAAGTTTCTTTTCAAAAATATATTCAAGGTGTTTCTCAATACCTTTGAAATCTTTACTTTTCTATTTTTATAATGCTTATATTGATCAAAATAAAGATAGCACGCTTAAAAGAACTCGCTAATCGGCAAAGTTGTTGTCGTAAACGATTGAATTTTTCAACATTACGTGTCGTGCAAATACATTATGCGGGGGCCACTTATTTCACGCCGTCCAACGTCGCCCAATCAATACCAGAGTGTGAGTCAAGATTTTTCCATCGAAATGAAAATCTGTTTCTACGGCGTGGAAGGATGTGATAAATTTGCTATTCTGACAGGACGAGAATACCTAATACAAGAGGCGTTGTTAGATTCTCCGTAAAGATTAGCAAAAAAACAAGAAAAAATTGAGGGAAAGTTGCGTGTAAGTTCAAGGTCAAAGCGTCAAAAGAAAGCGTTAAGTGGACGAATCAAATTGTATTTGGATCGGGTGAAGAGTTTTGCGAATGGCCCTTGACCTTCGCATGGTTGATATTGTTCTGATATGCAAATAAAAATAGTTAGAGACTGGTTTTAGCCCTTTTTCTATGATTAATTTAGAAAGTCTCTTGTAATGGGTGTTTTCGATTTCAATGTGATAAAATGTGAATTTCTAAATTTTGGAAAGTTCGGCAATAAAGTATGTAAGATCATGTTGTATTAAGTTATACTGATTTGAAACTGGCTAAAATTTAGGGTGTTTATGTGGTTTTATCAATATAGAGAAAATATTGGTAATTTTATAATCGTTTTATTGAGTTTATCAATTTTAAATTGAATATATCTACGATCTAAGACATACTGTGAAGTTAACAAATTGACTACATTTTTACCATAAGAATTCTATTTTAAAAAATACGCATTCTAATTATGTTATCGGAGACATGCGCTATGAGAGTGTATTGCCTAGTTTGCTGGACAACGGTCAACGAAAGGTTTTCAGTTCTTGAGCCGACATCGAAGAAAACCTACTTCGTTTCATCAAACTTATTTTCCCAAAAAGTGTTTCAAATTTAAAATTAACAAAGTAAAAAGGAGGTGAGTTTACAACTCAAATTTAAACTTTCTACTATTTATATATTTTCATTAAATATTTGAAATGATTTTCCTTTAAATAAGTAAAGAATAAAATGAGATTCTTGGAATAAAATAATTCAAAAGTGATGACTGAAATAATGGCTCCAATATCGAATATGTCTTCAACCGAAGACGATGACGTCGCTTTTAAAGTTTTAAATAATGATAATCTTCCAATGGCTGTAATCGGTGAATCGATTCGATGTCCATTTGGAAACGACATTCAAAAAACTAACAAACCAAACGTTGTTGTATATCCAACAAGAAGAATCGTTGATAATCTTGACGCAAACAAACAGAAACCGTTCCCTAAACCAAATGGGATTAATCAACGCGATAATAAATCACCATCAAATCAATTAAAAAATTACGGAAATTTCATTCATTGTAACAGCGCTAAGGAGAAAGTCAAAGAAAAAGTGATTAACCACCAAATTGATAATGCTTTTACAAAAACTTTGGATGCAAAATTAAAAAGATTACAAAAAGAAGAAAATAAAACGAGAGTTAAAAGGAGCACTCCATCGATTACTAATGAGTTACAAAATCGTCCTTTATTTGTTACGACGGTAAAAAAAGGACAATTTTTAGAACCCCCACCGGAAATCGCTTCATTATTAGGGATAAAAGTGCAAGAAGAGAAAAAAGATAAAAAGAAATTGTATGAGTACGCGAGTAAACCGAGAGTTTTTTTAGCAAAACCAACCCCAACAGTTAAAATTGGACATAAAGCTCGTTGCGAAGCTGCTGCAAAAGCTGCAGCTTTAGTTGTAGCAGTCGCTGGCATTCGATCGAAAAATTTCGTTGATGGAAAAGATTTTAATGCTAATATTACTAAAAAAATTGGGTAAGAAATTCAATATTTATATTTTAAAATTTTCATTTTTTTTGACGTTTCTGGTGTCAATTTGACATTTAAAAAATTTTGGGGTTAGTTTTAAGGCAAACGTCTAATTTAAATCAAAACGTAATTTTTCGTCTTTCATTTATAAATTAAGTGCTAAAAATAACAGTTTTCTTCATTAATCTTCTTCACTTAATACATTAAAAACATCAATTTATTGATTTCTATTTATTTAACCTTATCTAGGTCGGTGAGTGTGAAACTTTTATTTTTATTCTATGATTACAAACTACATTTAGTAATTTCCCGTCTGTAATTTTTACATTATTAATTTAAAATTGTAAATTATCTGATCCACTTTACTTGAAACCAAAAAAATATTTAACTCCTCCTAATTGATTACCAATAAATCATTTACGAATTCGTGGTTTAAATAGGGACAGTTCACGGTTGAGGTCATTATTATTTATTACACACATCTTATCGATTACCGTTTTGACTAAACGTTTATTATTAAAAGGTAAGAAAGTAACATTATCCTGGGTTATTGATCTTTAACCTTTTTTTTTTAAGAATACCCAAACTTCCTTTTATAAATTTTTGATAAATTTGTGTTAAAACTACACATTGGTTTAATAGAGAGAGGGTTGTGTGAACGATCGATAAACTTAATAAGTATGCAAACGTAACTGTTTTAAAGTGCACGTAATGAATCTTGAAACGCTGACAACAAACGGTTGTTTCAATTATGCTGTAAAATATTGTTTTGTATACTTTCTCGTTATAAATTAAGGTTGAGTTGTGGGTTTTAATTACACGGATAACCTTTTACAACAGATATTAATACATTTTTTTAAAGTTATTTTACAAAATCGTTTAACAGATTAACACTACTGCCATCTATTATTTATTCTTCGAATTTACTGTTATTGTTTCCTACTTTACCTTTTCTTAACTTCCTCAACAATTTTAATAACAAATTTATATGTATTAAACTTGTGAATAGACTTATAGTGGAAATCTGTGCTGCTTTTATCACTACAAAGAGACGACACCTTGCATTATCGGTCTATAGCGCTATTTGTTTTAAATATATATCCGAAGAGTGGCCTACAGTCAACATTGTCGTAATTTATATATGACACTGATAAATATGTATTTTCATCATCATATAAATGTTAAAAAGTTACCTTGAGTGGCCTTGCGTGGAGAAAGACTTTGGATTATGTTACAATGGAAGCTTTTTAATGACACGAACATCTAATGAATTATGGAAGATAGGATAGCGATAACACAAAATATCTTTTATGCACGATCTGTGTAAATATGTATGTAAATTTAACGAAGTTATAACTACGAATATGAGGATAGCTAAATATTTCTTCATAATTATGGATTTACCTGACATCTCATATCTAAATCAGTTATCGATTATCATACGTCCATGAATTTGGCACACCAACAGAGATATTTCTGCACATGTATGGCAATTTAACCCAATCAGTGTACCATACAGCATTACTTACAATGACAAGCGGGAATGGCCACTAAATCGGTAAGTCTGATCCAGAGTGAATGGGGCGAAAGCACGCCTTTAATCTAAGCCCCACGGCTAAGGTTGGCATTGGGACAACGACCAAATCCTGTAAAACCCATTTGTTACGAAAATCAAAACAGAATCTTCGGACGGATTTTTTGACCACGACGTGGCTCTAAAAACTCTAGATTCCCTGGAAAACTATAAATGGGACGTGGCAGCACTACAGAAAATAAGATGGACAAGCAACGATTTACTGAATAGAGCTGGATACAATATCTATTATAGCTGTCACAACACGTTACACACATTTAGGAAAAAAGTTGACGTAATTGGTAATTTCGAAGCAGTCCTGGATCTGAATAAGGAGAATATTCTTCAATCACTCAATTATTAATATCCATGCACCCACGGAAGAAAATAGCTTCGTTAAAATTGTTGTTTAGTTAGGTAGAAAAGGTAACAGCAGAGGTTTCTGGGCGGAAAAAACTTAATTTTTAGAAGCAACTTAAAAAAAATAAATAAATAAAAAGCGAATATATTCTGTTCTCATTTTAATCGAAAAAATAAAATAAGCAGAATTTTCTTTTAATCAAAAAATATTAAAAAATACACAAACTCAAAACTTTGTAAGTAGTCATCGCTTTCTGACGCTTCCGTCTCACTGATTTCTTCAGTATTGTTTGATTCCAGTGAAGTATACCATCCTAGGTAAGCTAGTGGTATATACTCCGACAGTTCCTTCAAATTTTGAAGTTTTTTGTCGTCTGTTTTAACTTTTCCTTTATATAGCTGGTCAACTTTCCATTCTTTTATTTCTTTTTCATTTGTCGACTCTACCTTTCAAGGCCACAAAGTTTTCAGGTCCATTATCAATGTTGTGGCATTGTGATACGGTAATATTATTACCTTGGTACTTAAAAGTTTTATATTGGGTTACTTTGAAATTTTTAATCGTTTTTTTGAAAAACTGTTGGAGGTACGTTCGAAAGTCCAGCAGCATTGATTTTGGAACCACCTTAACCACTGTAAAGGTTTTGGAGGTTTTTTGAACAAGTGAATACCATTCTTCTGGTAGGTATAGATAAGTTCTCTTGCGTTTTTCCTTTTCGATTAAGGCAAATTTTCGGTCGCAGGGTAAAAAGGAATGTCCTCTTTCAGGAAATCTGTGAAAAATTAATTCAAATCTTCCTATTGCTACGAGAGAAGATAGCTTTTGNAGTGTTAGCAGATATCTGATGCAAAGCCTATAAAAAAGTACAACTTACTAAGGCAAACGGAAAAGAGAATATACACAAGGATGAAGGAGGAGGAACGGAACAGTCTATTAAAGGAAATAAATGAGCTATACAACGAGCGTGACACAGGGAATTTCTACCAGAAATTAAAGATAACAAAACAGGAATTTAAACTCAGAATAAGAGCATGTGACATACAGGGAAATATCCTTAATAATAAGGAAGAAATACTAAACAGATGGGCAGACTACATTGTAGAACTCTCAAAAGGACCAAAAGACGTTACCAATAATAATAATATATAATAATAATATCATAAGAATAAGTCAGAGACTGTTTGACATTGATTATAATCAATCAGACGTAATAATTATTGTATGAATAACGCGTAATGCTGATTTTCAACTTAAAATTTGTGAGACATCCAAAAATAAGTTAAATTTGCGAAAAAAACTAAGGGTGATGAAAATTTTTCATTATTTTTCCCGGATTCAGCACCCAAAAATCAATGAAGATCGCCTTTCAGTTTCAAAAAAGGTTTTTGATCGCAGGCCTGAGAAATTAAAATTAGAACTAACACTATACTTAGAACTAGAAACATTCGGATTTACCATATGTCTCTTAAGACGTCTAAACTCTAATGGTTCTAGTTCTAGTATTAGTACTACATTTAGTTCCATAAATATACAACAACCTAGCGCTGAATAACTATAAAACTAGAACTAACACTAGACCTAGAACTAGAAACATTCGTGCGTCTGAAAACGCACGGCTAAACCCGAAACTTTCTAGTTCTAGGTCTAGTGTTAGTTCTAGTTTTATATTAGTACTATCATCAGAACTAACACTATACCTAAAACTAGAATCATTCGGGTTTAGCCATCTTTAGAGACGTGCGGCTAAACCCAAATGATTCTAGTTCTAGGTATAGTGTTAGTTCTACATGGTAACAGGGCTAGTGTAAAACTAGAACTAACACTAGACTTAGAACTAGAAACATTCGGGTTTAGCCGTCTTAAGAGACCCAACCCAAATGTTTCTAGTTCTAGGGTCAGTCAAAAAGTTATGACACTTGTATATTATTCCATATTTCAGTTCATCTGGAAATTCTAAACAAAATTCATGTAGCACATTATAAACCTAAACTTAATCGTTTTCTAGATATAACTTTGAAAATGTACGAATTTATCTAATTAATTACGTAATTTATCTTTGCATGCAAATTATTCAAACTAAATATATTTCTGACAGGTGTTATGTCCAGTATACCTAATTAGTCTTTATTGTAATAGATTTTAAAAAACACTAAAACTTTTATATCTTAACAGTTTTCGCTAGCTAGCTTATATCAAGAGATAATCGACTGTTTCCATACATATCAGCAACCCTTGTAACATCTTCTGTGTAAATATTCCTTCTCTGTTTGGTGCAAAAATTTCTGTCAGTGTTCTTTGTTAACTTTCTTAGAACAGTTATTCCTAACTGTTCTTTATTTTTACAAATAGTTCATTCAACGTTATTTATCAGTGTCAGCAGCCTGGCCTTTTTGCAAAAACCTATGTATCAGTTAGTTCCGTTCNCGCTAGTGCGAAATCATATTTCATAAGTGTGAAATCATACTGTAAAAGGTATAGTTCTAGGTATAGTGTTAGTTCTACATGGTAACAGTGCTAGTGTAAAACTAGAACTAACACTAGACGTAGAACTAGAAACATTCGGGTTTAGCCGTCTTAAGAGACGTACAGCTAACCTAAATGTTTCTAGTTCTAGATCTAGTGTTGGTTCTAGTTTTACACTAGCACTGTTATTATGTAGAACTATTAACACCACAATTGAAAAATATTTTGGTCACATTCATATTCGTAAGGACGTAAAATGAAAATAAAAACAGAATAATGGTAAACACCGCTGATCAATTTGACAGTCGCTAAACGTAAACAATCCACATGCGCGCTGCGCGTTATACCCACAGTATTACCAACCATTGAAATAACTATTCTGGCATAAGAAAGGCTTTATAAGACGCATTCGTTAAATTAATGCCGAGAATAAATTATTCTGGAAATAACTATTCCACTGATTATACCAACACTTGTAAGATCGACCCTAAATAGAATAAAGACAAATTAAGTACACAGGGTCAGTCAAAAAGTTATGACACTTGTATATTTTTCCATGTTTCAGTTCACCTGGAAATTCTAAACAAAATTCACGTAATTTATCTTTGC